TATTACACAAGTCATATTTAGTAGATAAGTAGTAACTTATGTTAGTAATCTAGATAAGTAGTAACTTTATGTTATGAAATATGTTGTAATAATGTAAAGGTGTCAACAAGACTAAAAACAGAATGATTGTGAAATATTATTACAATTTAAAATAACTTTTCTCTTTGAATATATTTTAAAATGTAATTTATCCTTGTGAATTTTCAGCATCATTACTCCAGTCTTCATTGTCACATGATCATTCAGAAATCATTCTAATATGCTGATTTGCTGCTCAAGACATATTTCTGATTATTATCAATGTTAAAAACAGCTGTGTTGCTTAGCATTTTTGTGCAAACCATTTTTTCAGGACATTTTGAAATAAAATCAACTTTAACTGAAATAATATATATATACTGTACAGTGCCTTGCGAAAGTATTCATTTTTCACATTTTGTTATGTTGCTGCCTTATGTTAAACTGCTTTAAATTACTTTTTTTCCACATCAATCTACAATCCATACACCATAAAAAAAAACAGGTTTTTAACATCTTTGCAAATTTATTACAAATAAAAAACTTAAATAATTCCATTGCATAAGTATTCATACCCATTTCTGGGACAGTTGAAATTTAGCTCAGGAGCATTCATATTGCTTGTAGATGCAACTACACTTCAAGTGAAGTTAACCTGTGGCAAATTCAACTGAATGGGTATGATTTGGAAAGGCACAAGCATCTTAATAAAATATCTAACAGCCGATTATGCATATCAGAGCAAAAACCAAGCCCTGATGTAAAAAAAAAAAAAAAAGGCTTGTAGAGCTCAGAAACAGGTTTGCGTCAAGCCACACATCTGTGGAAGAGTTCAGAAAAAAAATCTACTTCATTGAAGGAACACAGAAGCATGTAGTCTCTGTTACCCTTAATAGAAGAAGTCTGAAGTCTGAAGTCTGAAGTCTCTACTTGAGCTCCATGATCATATGTGGAGACAGGAGAAACCTACAGAAGGACAAACATCACTGCAACACTCCACCGACCCGGTCTTTATGGCAGTGTGGCCAGACTCAATCTTCTCCTCAGTGAAAACACATGACAACACACTTGGAATTTACAAAAAAGCACCTAAAGGACCCTCAGACTCTGAGAAACAAGATTCTCTGGTCTGATGAAC